CTAGATTACGTGATCAACAAAGAAGTATATTTTTCAAGCAGAAAATGATGAAAATTTTGAAGAAAATGAGGTTTAGAGACAGAAAATGAAGCTCAAAATAAACTTTGTATGAATTTTATTGATTTGATAAATCGTAACATTTCGACACCTATTCAAAAAACAATATGACAATACAATAATTGTTAAATAAAAATTAGCAATTCGTCTTTTCGATGTAATGTTAAACATATGACAGTGAGATGGAGGTAGAAGACAATTTTGATTATTGAAACTTTACTAATTTTTATTAAATAATAATTCATTTGTAATTTTAACTTATAAATAAAAAAAAACATATGTACACAAATGCGAAACAATACACTGTCATAAATATTAATTAATTCGAAAGAAAAGTTTGTTTCCAAGACTGTGTTAAGTGCAAAATAATTTACACATGGAAAGTTACTGTAATTGAGATACGTATCTTTGCCCAAGGAACTGAGCTAGCGTTAGTTATAACAAACTGTACAGTTACATAAAAAAACATTCAACCATCATATAATGTATGTAAGAAATGATTTGTATCGAAAGAGCCAATCAGATTAGCACAGTGTATCAGATGAATTGGAAGTGAGTAATAATGGCCTAATTAAAAGCACCATTATAGAATGGAATACTTATTTTCTTCCTCTGAAGTATCCATCAGCGAACATACAAGGTCACGCCTAAGATGATGGACTAATATTACGTTTTCAAAAACAAGTATGGAAAGAAAACTAAAACATCATGTATGTCATTTAGCATTGAGTAGATTCATTGGTAAGATTTGAAAGTAGAAGAGTCGAACCATGAAATTGTATTTTTCACTGATATTGATAATCGTTGGGACGCTTGCAACTGGTGCTCTTTGTGCGACGCGTACCCAAATAACACTGGCTAAATACAATACACTCCAATTCTCATGGACAATCGCTCAAGTTGAAGCAGCAGTAGGTGGACCGAGTGAACGCCTAAGTGAAACACCATCAATGCTTACCATCCAATACGATGGTAGATCATTGGTCACCTTTGCGACATTGACTTTTGTCAATGGAAAGCTCGCATCAAAAGCACAAGTGGGCTTGTGTTAAGAATATTCATTTCAATTTTTATTCATTCAGAAAGTAATCAATTTCAAACACTAGAGTGAAAGTATTAGATAAAACTGTGAAGGTCTTTTTACTATCTAAATAAATATTGTACTCTAGAATTTTTGATGATGTTGACTGCGTACTAACTACATTCAGCTTGTTGAAGTACTAAAAACTATTGATCAAGCACTATCTTTGTACACCATTCTATATGAAGATGAATAACGCACTCGTACGAAATGTCGTGAGAATTTATTTCAATTTATGATCTGGCGTATATGAGAGCGTGCAACTATCAAATAAGACTTTTCACTAGGAAGGCTATGAAGATATCATTATTCGCGATGATTTAAGAGATCCCATTCAGAATTGATTTCGCACTTAGAACGGACCGTCTAAGCTGGAATTTTCATGAACAATTAGTCGTGTAGTGAGAAACGCTTGTGGTAAAAATTCCAGCATGATATGCCTCACTCGACCAAATTTCCAGATTATTTTCCTATCTTTCAGGAGAATCGAAATAACTTCGTCGTTATAAGGGGCACAGAGCTTGAGCTGGTTTCAAATTAAAGCTAGCTTCTGTGCGCAACTTTTTATCGAACGAAATTTTGAAACTCCCTTCCATTCATTTTTTAGGAGTATTTTAATGGACATGGTGTTCAAAATAGAGCAAAATAAAAGGTGATTCCACAAGTGTAAATCCCACTTTTTGCAGTCCAGGAATCCAGTATCAAAAATTCGAGCGATGAAAAATTAGTTCTGATTAAGACTTAAAAAAAAAACAGAAACATCAGTTACACTCGAAGTCGAGTGGGAGTTATTTCAATTTTCCTGTCTAGAAACCATATTCGTAGCAAAAAACGCTAAAGTAGTTTTAGAAATGGATAAAAAAATTCAAATGCGAGTATGATACAGGCAAGAGATTATTGCGACTGTCGATTACGAACATGAAAACTTATATCTTTGCAGTACTCTATTGCACATTGCCACGCTTTTATATCAGAAAGTACCAATTTTGTTATTTACATATTTACGGTCACAATCAATGTTTTATGCTTTGTCAGTAGCGATCTGTGCAGATATTTAGGAAAGAGTTATGTAAGGGGTGTTATTTCAGATAGGAATAGATAATGCATAGTAACATCAATAATGCAGCGTTCAAACAACATGTTTTATTTTACATAAAGAATCGCTTTGCTACTTAGATGAAACTATCATGAGGAAAAAAAACAGATCAAACTAGAAGACTACCTCAACAATTTTCTGTAGCTCAACTCTTGCATCTTCATTGTTTCCCAAATAAAGCATGCAGCTGTATAACTGAGAGAATTTTCTGCTTAATTGACATTTGAATAAATTCATCATTATCATCAAGTTATTATTTACTAAAACACGAATTATTATTATGAAGATGCTTTGTGCAAAAGGCTCAGAATTACTATTGGAAGAATCACATTAAAGTTATTTTAATGTTCTTTTCCGAACCAAGTAAAAATAAATCTAAATATTACTACGTAAGATCAACAATTTTTCTATCCCGACAAGCAAAACCTGAAAATAGAGCATTTAAAATTCTAAGCTTTTTAGCCAATACATGTAGTGATGAAAATGATCATATAATATATGATAAGTTTCCACAAAACGCATTTCGATTTCTGAAAAAGATAATCTCAGTTTTCGAAAGCATGTTCCCTTTTTTCAGGAAACTCTGGATGTATTTCAGGTACTTATTCAATGCTTCACATGAATAATATAGTAGTAATGTGATGGTTAAATAAATTAAATGATAGCATGAAATTTCAGCATTTTTTCTTTTGTTTTTGAAAGACAATATCGATGAACTTGTAGCTTTAGACAACAAGCAATTGATATCAGCATCAAAGCAACAAAGACAACATGACTCAAGCTATTTGAATATCAGTGCAAAACAAAGGCAAGAAAGCTAGGAGCTTATATGAAATTTGATAATGAAAAGACTTAGTTAATATAGTATTTGATTGATCAAATGTAATTCTGTCTGTTGTTTTTAAATTACAATGCCGCAGTAACTCGGCGAGAACGAATATGCCTTTTCATTAATCGATAAAGTCTTGTAATGTTCCAGACGATGAATCGTAAGCCAATCGTTAGACCGCCATAGAGTCCAAGTACGGATGTAGTCATGTACAAGATATTATTGTATGTCACATATTCAAAATTGCAATGAGTTAATGCACATGTTGAAAAATAATCTTCGTATGAACTTCTATTTGTCCATTCCTCTATAAAGAATTCGTCAAAGAGTGTACCGGTTGAAGTGTTCTTTGAAAAACGCGATCTTGTTGAATTGTCTAATGGTAATATAGTTAAGGGCAATACTGTTAGTGGAATGAAATTAATAGGTAGTGATCCATCCATTTGTGTGTAGTATTCAAGATCACTGAGAATGGTAGAGATGCAACTCGATGAGAAGAAACATTCAAATGTGGACATGCGAAGTCCATCAATAGATAAGCAGCCAACAACGAAACCGGGTAAAAAGAGACCTAATTGATCGATTCGTAGCGATTTCTGACATGTTCCGGAAATCATAAAATTACACGTAGTGTTAGTGAATACGCGAGGTACACTTCGTATGAGATAATCGTTCGACTCGTTACCACACTCCAACAACCAGTCAATATTGAAGGCTATTGGCAGAAAATTGAAGTGAATCATGTCAATGCGAAATTTTGTGCCCGTCGAACATCTTCTGGCATGATTTGAATGAATTGGGCGATAGCTTCGGCCATTTCTATTTCGAATGATCTTCGAGGTAAAACAGTTGCGGCGGTCACCATCGATATTCGAAGGAATTTATCCATTTGAAAATCGACATTTTGCACTATTTCTTCACACATTCATCCCAAAATTTGACAATGCTTGCTGAGATGAGGCCAATCTAGCTATAGTTAGTTGTTTGCAGAGGATCCATATCCATATAATAGGATTGTCCATGTTGTAGTGATAAATGCACTTGAACAGATCTTAAAAATCAGTACACTACAGAAGATATCATATCAACAGCACTTGGAAATGTGAAAAAACTAAGATGAATATGTTGTTATTTTGGGTGTGGGTGTGGGAATGATTACGTTACCCACACCCATCCACACCAACATCCACCCAGCCCACACCCACACCCAAACACACACCAACACCCACACTCTCCACGAGTTGAACCATCATACCAAGTAGAAAATAGAAATAAACCACAAGTAGTTGAGAATAATTTAGTCAGTAAACAAATTACACTAGCGGAGCAAGAAATAGTGAGAAATTTCCCATCAGTTATTTCAAAAGATATAGAAAATTTTAAAATAGAATTATTTGATTTTCCAATTATTCCAATTGAGTGTAAGTTTCATTTTAAGATCTTCCGTATGGAAGCAAATATAGAAAATATACGAGCACAGAGAATTTTTAGAAAAGAAAGCTAAGCAACAAGAAAATGAATTAGACCATCTCATGAAGCAATTTAATGAAGATTTACGTAGAATAATAGTACAATATGTTAAGAATACTATAGATCTACTTATAGATAGTTTAAAAATTTCGAATCAAAAACGTTTAGATAACCGTATTTTAGATCAAATGAAGGGAAAAGCTATAAGAACAATTCGAAATAGTAATGATAAAAATAGTTTACAAATTATAGATAAAGCACAGATGAGATTCTAACGTACATTACAATTGAAATATCAGTTAGATATATTAGATCGAAGATTGAATGAGAATATGCCCCCGCCAGCATTAAATATTATGGATAAGTTACAGTTTCGTAGTAAAGAATTAAACAAAGAAGTTGTAGGCCTATATAGTGAGCAGTGAAATAATATTATTCGTAAGACCAAGTTAGATTTAACATCAATAATGGGAATAGGTAAAATTACAGAGGTAGATAAAAGTGAAAAAAAACATTTAGATTTACTTGAGAAAATACCAACAGAAATAAGATCAGCATATAAAGATTTCATACATACTATAGAAATAAGAAATAATAGAAGGGTGTGAGTGTGGGTGTGGGCATCGAGTGAGTTTGCGTTAAGAAAAGACGTACACCCACACCCACACCCTGTCTGTTGTTTATTTATGAACGACACTTCGTATGATTTATTATAGAATAGAGTCTTCGCATTTAAACGAAAAACAAAGCATAAATTTGGTCTAAAAGTGTCCCGATAGTGCATTTGTCTGATCAGTAATTGCCCTCATCATTACTGTATAAGTATCATTACTCGTCGGTTGAGATGTTCCGATCAAATCAAACTGAGCTGTAGCTGTGTATGGACTACCATTCGGTCCAATTGCTTCTCCATTCACAATTTTCCATGTGTAAATGATCTGTGCACCATTATCTACATGAGACTCACTCATGCTTCCACTCGGAAAGTTGCTAAACATTCCAGTGTATCTAGCACCAACGGTTTTTTGCAGAGTAATAGTAATAGTAACATTGATCAAAGTAGTAGAAACACTTAATGTTACACGTTCTATGCCATAATAATTACTCGTAGTAGCCGATACAGAGACACTAGCCGGAAAACTAGGTAAAATCTATTGAGAGATAATATTGGGAAACGAAGCATATAACAGATAAATCTTACTGTTGTACTTGTTGGACTTGTTGAGGATGTTGGACTTGTTGAGGATGCTGGACGTGTTGAGGATGTTGAGCTTGTTGGGGTTGCTGTACTTGTTGAGGGTGTTGAGCTTGTTAAGGATGTTGGACTTGTTGAACTTACTGTACTGACAACAGCTCTTATGGTGGTTACCGCGTTTGTGCTATTAGTTGATGAATCTATTCACAATATACAGTCAAAGACTAGCTTACACACCAAAAAATTTTTCTTTGGAAATAGTCCATACTGATGCTGCCCTTCGCAGCCGAATTTGCTTTTCAAAAATGACAAATTCCTAACGTGGGGAAGATGAACAGAACTTTATATTTTACTAACTTTGAAATATTTACTTTTGTGAAAAATACTTCAATGATACTTCATTTGACTTCAACACTACGTCGCCATATTATGCTCTATAAGTCTTTCCAGGAAACTAGTTTCCTGAAAAACGAAAAACATCCCAGAAGACAAAAGGAGTTTCCAAAAAAGTAAGCTAATTTCCAGGAAATCAACTTCCTTTTTCGAAAAAAAATCAATTTTTTATTGCACACAGCGTGTAAACATGGGCCCACGCAAAACACATACATGCGTCATCTAAGCGAGGGCTCACAGGAACGCAGCCACATTTGAAGCACCTGACGTCTATTGTACTTTTTATGTCCGTTATGCCTATTATGGCTTTTATGCCGCCACAGATTGCAAAAGGACTTTTCTTCTGTTTTTTCGTCAACTTAACCAGCTTTCTGAAAACTAATAAAACGCATCAAAGCGACATCTATTAGTGGAAATAGTTTATCGAAAACACAATTTGTGATATCTCCCAAAAAATTGTATCTTTTCCATGGCTTCATTTTTATTTAAGATTTCTAATGACCAAACACTCGGTAGTACACATCTGATTACTGTTGCAAAAGTCGCTGATGCCATCTGATGATTGGTTTCAGATCTTCGTATCCACGCAGTATAGACAATTGATACCGCCACATTGAAAATCCGTTCCTCTAGGTGTTTCAGAATCGGATGACTTTGAGAGTGCTCTTGTTTTTCTCCTTATCGATCTTTCTACCTATTAGCCGCAATTGCTAACGTTGATGATCTGGAACTGACTTACCTAATAGATACCATTAGATCCTTATAGATTTTCGAGAAAAACAAAATTATCTCTCAACAATAGTACCCAGGTCAAAGGTAAGCCATGGGATTCTGTCGGATCTCAATCGATTCCTATAATTTCCGACGTATTCCGATTATCCGATTCCGATGAAATCCGAAGGACAGATCCTATGGGATTCAGTTATCGAAATCCAGTCGGTTCCCTCCGTTTCCGACAAGTTAGTCGTCGGATATTTTGATGAAAGTAACTGTTAAATATGCTTTAACATTTTGTAAAGATCATATAGAATTGTAATTATTTTCTCGTCTTCAAGAGAGAAACCACTGAGAAAATTGAGTCTTTTCCAAAGTTTCTCATATAAAAAAAAATTGAACCAACTTTTTTTTTTCGAGAAATGGCTGATTCCTATTAAGTGAAGATAATAGGAGTGTCATGTATTCCTTTACTAACATTGACTTTTTTAAAATAAAATGCCAATGACATTCATATCGTTCTATTTCGTCTCTTCTCTTTTAACTGGCTTTCTTGGTAGCAACGTTTTTTGTTATTCATATGTCCTTTTTCTATGATTTTATTCTACCTTGTCGTACTCGCTTTCCGCTTATCGCTCTTTATTTTCAATATATTGATACTAAGTCTTTTTTCTCTATATTACCGATGCCATCAAAATTACTGCACTTTCTGCGATTAATCAGCGATTTTCCAACGAATTTCAAAAGTAACTATTAATTTATATAATAAATAATTTCCTATATATATATATCGCCTCATGCTCTAAATCAAACATAAACGTTATGATTAAGATAAAAATGTCTTTTTTCATGTTATTTAGGTTCTCTGATAGCATAAATGAATGGTAAATACTATTACCAAAAATAAGTATTTCTTTTTTTATTTTGTTAAGATCATCTAATGGTCTAAATCAAAGGCAAGCATTATTATTAGAAATGCATATTTCTTTTTTATCGTATTTACGTCATCTAATACATCTAATGGTCTAAATCCATTGTAAGTACTTTTATTAGAAATAAATATTTCTTTTTTTTATTCTATTTAGGTCATCTGACGCTCTAGGTCAAATGTAAGTATTATTTTTAAAAATAAATGTTTCTTGTTTTATTTTTTGAAGGTCATCTGATGATCTAAGTCCACGGTAAGTATCATTATTATAAATATTTCCCTGTCTTTTATTTAGGTCGTCGAATGGTCTAAATAAGGGTAAGTATGATTTTGAAAAATAAAGAATTCTTTTTTATTTTATTTAGATCATCTAATTGTCTAAGTCAATTGTAAGTGTTGTTGTTATAAATAAATATTTTTCTTTTTTTTATTTAGGTCGTCTAATGGTGTAAAGCAACGTAAAGATTTATTTTCAAAAGTAGATATTTCTTTTTTTATTTTATTTAGGTTCTCTGATACTATAAATGAATAGTAAGTATTACTATTAAAAAAAAATGTGTTTTATTATATTTAGGTCATTTGATGGTGTGAATGGGCGTCAACTATTTTTATATTAAGAATAAATATTTATTCGTATTGTAATGGGTTCGTTTTAATAATATATCGGTTTCTTTTCTTGTATTTGTTACTTGATAAGGGAATAACAAGGGTAGACTCCAGTTTTTGGCTTGTTGTCATAAGTTTAATGATTCAGTATACATGAAAATTGATGATCAATAGTAAATAGAATAGGTATAGAATGTTGATTTGAATCCGACCGGATCCTGTCGGATCTCTTAATTTTTGTCGCAG